GCCTGAACCCAGGAGGCAGAGGTTGCTGTGAGCCGAGATTGCGCCATTGCACTCCAGCCTCGGTAACAAGAGCGAAACTCTGTCTCAAAAAAAAAAAAAAAAATGAGCTTCTGGCAAGGTTCGGTGGCTCTTGCCTGTAGTCCCAGCCCTTTGGGAAGCCGAGGTGGGTGGATCACCCAAGGTCAGGAGATCAAGACCAGCCTGGACAACATGCTGAAACCCTCTCTACTAAAAATACAAAAATCAGCTGGGCGTGGTGGCGCAGGCCTATAATCCCAGCTATCTGGGAGGCTGAGGCAGGAGAATTGCTTGAACCCGGGAGGTGGAGGTTGCAGTGAGCTGAGATTGCGCCACTGCACTCCAGCCTGGGTGACAGAGGGAGACTTGGTCTCAAAAAAAGAGCAAGGAAGCCAGGCCAGTGAGACGCTGTCCCAGGGGTCTTGCTGGGAGAAGCCTGGAGCACCGTACCCAGCCTGCCCGAGCCTGAGGCCAACTCCAGGAAGGTAAGTGTGGATGGCGAGAGGGACAGCCTTGGCCCTGGTTAACACCACCAGGGCCTCTGGATCCAGCAGGGCCTGCAGCCGACCCTTTCCCTGAACTTGTCAGTTATGTTGACCCAGGCTGTTCCTGGTTGTTGGTTTCTCTCCTGGAGCCACTCTGAGGTGAGTTTCTATCCGTGATGGCAGAGGGGCAGCTTCCTCTGGCAAGGCGTAGGCGCTGTCTGGATGTTCCCTGGCAAACCACCCCCACTCTGAAGACAGAACCCTCGGTCTGGGCACCACCTGCCACCACCACACTCACCAGATCGGCGAGGTTCGGCCTCTGGCCCCCCATGAAGGGCCGGTCCTTGCCCACAGCGGCCACCCACTTGTTGGCAGCCTCATAAAGGTCCTCACGCACATTGTCCTGGAGGTGGTGCCTGGGTAGGGAAGGGAAAAGCCTCTCAGGGGAGTGCCAGTCCCAGCCAAGCAGGGAAGAGGGATCTCCTCTGGGGAGAATGGGAAGGTGTGGAGGCCAGGGTGGCACGCCAGGTGACAGCATCACACCTGCAGACGCCTCAGAGAGCATCTGTCCCAGACGGGGAGGCTATGGCAAAGGCAAGAGACCATGCCAGGGAGAAAGCCGCAGAGAAGGGGAAGTCAGGGCCCAGGCTTCCCAGCTTCAAGGCCAGCCCTACTGCCCCTGGGGAGGTGAGCAGGAGCTCTGGGTGCGAGTCCTGACTTCGCCAAGCGACACATAATCCATACTTTGTTTCCCGCCTGCCCTAGGCCTCAGCTGCCCGCTGGTCTCCTGAGAGGTGTGATGGGATCACCATGCTCGTGGCACTGGAGGCTTGGGAGCAGCAGGCCCGGACGTGCACACACACTTGCCTGCTCTTGAGTCGCTTGCTGATGAGGTACATGGCCGCCGCACCCATGTACTTGGCCACGGCGCCCTCCACGGCTCCGAACTTGCCCTCGCGGACGATGTAGTCAAAGGACGCCAGAGCCTCGGTGGGCGTGCGGTACACGTTGGGGGAGATCAGGTGCACCAGCCAGTCGTCCACCCACTGCCGCCACTTCATCTCCTCCCTGCGGGCGCAGGACAGACTTCCTGAGCCAGGCCCTGGGCAGTGCTGGGAGCAGGCTGCATTCTCTAGAACATACCCACTGCATGGGTGGGAAGCGAAGCCTGGCCAGGAAGCTTGTTTTTGTTTTTCTGTTTTTGTTTTGTTTTGAGACAAAGTCTCGCGCTGTCGCCCAGGCTGGAATGCAGTACCGCAATCTCAGCTCACTGCGTTCTCAGCCTCCCAGGTTCAGGCAATCCTCCTGCCTCAGCCTCCCAAGCAGCTGGGACTACAGGCACGTGCCACCACACCTGGCTAATTTTTGTATTTTCAGTAGAGTTGGGGGTTTTACCATATTGGCCACGCTGGTCTTGAACTCCTGACCTCAGGTGATCTGCCCACCTCGGCCTCCCAAGTGCTGGGATTATAGGCGTGAGCCACCGCGCCTGGCCGCAGGCTAAGGTCTTTACTCACAGCCGGCGTGGCCCGGCCACAGTCCCCCCAGTCTCCCACGCTGCTCCCCGTTCACGGCATCTGGCTTAGCCTGGCCTTCTCTAGAGAAGACCCTGCCTCCCCACCTTCCCCCGCCAGCCCCAGCCTCACTCACGTCCTGGCCTCCTTCCCGCCGTACACCTGCTGGGCCTCCTTCTCGTCCAGCATGAGCCAGTACTTATTGCCGAACTCGGTCACCTCCTTGCCCTGGTCATTCACAGCCTTCATGGCTGGGTAGTAGGCGATGATCTCTTCCAGGGGCTGCCTTTGGAGAGAGCCACCGTCTCACCCCGACTCCTTTCCCCTCTTGTCCCCTGTGGCCTACCAACCCGGCTGCCCCAGCCTCAGAGTGGAGCCAGGACCAACGAACAAAGGCTCTCCACACTCTTGCAGTAAGAAGGATTTGGAGTGGATGCCAGCACAACTTCCTCAAGACGGGGAGGTGTGGGGAGGATGAAGTGGGGGTCTCGGAGGAGGAAGGCCATGGCCTACGCTGGAAATCTTTTTTTTTTTTTTTTTTTTTTTTTTTTTTTTTCTTGTTTTTTTTTTTTTTTTTTTTTTTGAGACTGAGTCTCGCTCTGTCACTCAGGCTATAGTGCAGTGGCTCAATCTCAGCTCACTGCAACGTCTGCCTCCACGTTCAAGAGATTCTCCTTGGCCGGGCGCGGTGGCTCAAGCCTGTAATCCCAGCACTTTGGGAGGCTGAGGCGGGTGGATCACGAGGTCAAGAGATCAAGACCATCCTGGTCAACATGGTGAAACCCCGTCTCTACTAAAAATACAAA